ACCGACCATGTACAACACTATTTATCTGTACTTTGTATACTTACCGACCATGTACCACACTATTTATCTGTACTATGCATACTTACCGACCATGTACCACATTATTTATCTATACTGTGTATACTTACCGACCATGTACCACACTATTTATCTATACTATGTATACTTATCGACCATGTACCACATTATTTATCTATCCTATGTATACTTACCGACCATGTACCACACTATGTATCTATACTATGTATACTTACCGACCATGTACGGCATTATTTATCTATACTATGTATACTTACCGACCATGTAACACACTATTTATCTGTACTATGTATACTTACCGACCATGTACCACACTATGTATCTATACTATGTATACTTACCGACCATGTACGGCATTATTTATCTATACTATGTATACTTACCGACCATGTATCACACTGTATATCTGCACTATGTATACGTACCGACCATGTACCACACTATTTATCTATACTATGTATACTTATCGACCATGTACCACATTATTTATCTGAACTATGTATACGTACCGACCATGTACCACATTATATATCTGTACTATGTATACTTACCGACCATGTACCACACTATTTATCTATACTATGTATACTTACCGACAATGTACGGCATTATTTATCTATACTTTGTATACTTACCGACCATGTACCACACTATTTATCTATACTTTGTAAACTTACTTGTATACTTACCGACCATGTCCCACATTATTTATCGATACTATGTATACTTACCGACCATGTACCACACTATTTATCTTTACTTTGTATACTTACCGACCATGTACCACAATATTTATCTATACTATATGTATACTTACCGACCATGTACCACATTATTTATCTATACTGTGTATACTTACCGACCATGTACCACACTATTTATCTTTACTTTGTATACTTACCGACCATGTACCACATTATTTATCTATACTATGTAAACGTACCGCCCATGTACCACACTATTTATCTATACTTTGTAAACTTACCGACCATGTACGGCATTATTTATCTGTACTATGTATACTTACCGACCATGTATCACACTGTATATCTGCACTATGTATACGTACCGCCCATGTACCACACTATTTATCTATACTTTGTATACTTATCGACCATGTACCACACTATTTATATATACTATGTATACTAACCGACCATGTATCACACTGTATATCTGCACTATGTATACGTACCGCCCATGTACCACACTATTTATCTATACTTTGTATACTTATCGACCATGTACCACACTATTTATATATACTATGTATACTAACCGACCATGTATCACACTGTATATCTGCACTATGTATACGTACCGACCATGTACCACACTATTTATCTGTACTTTGTATACTTACCGACCATGTACCACACTATTTATCTGTACTTTGTATACTTACCGACCATGTACCACTCTATTTATCTATACTATGTATACTTACCGACCATGTATCACACTGTATATCTGCACTATGTATACGTACCGCCCATGTACCACACTATTTATCTATACTTTGTATACTTACCGACCATGTCCCACATTATTTATCGATACTATGTATACTTACCGACCATGTACCACACTATTTATCTGTACTTTGTATACTTACCGACCATGTACCACAATATTTATCTATACTATGTAAACGTACCGACCATGTACCACACTATTTATCTGTACTTTGTATACTTACCGACCATGTACCACTCTATTTATCTGTACTATGTATACTTACCGACCATGTACCACATTATATATCTGTACTATGTATACTTACCGACCATGTACCACACTATTTATCTATGCTTTGTATACTTACCGACCATGTACCACAATATTTATCTATACTTTGTATACTTACCGACCATGTACGGCATTATTTATCTATACTTTGTATACTTACCGACCATGTACCACACTATTTATCTTTACTTTGTATACTTACCGACCATGTACCACACTATTTATCTTTACTTTGTATACTTACCGACCATGTACCACATTATCTATACTATGTATACTTACCGACCATGTACCGCACTATTTATCTATACTTTGTATACTTACCGACCATGTACCACAATATTTATCTGTACTTTGTATACTTACCGACCATGTACCACATTATTTATCTATACTATGTATACTTACCGACCATGTACCACATTACTTATCTATACTATGTATTATACTTACCGACCATGTACCACACTATTTATCTATACTATGTATACTTACGACCATGTACCACATTACTTATCTATACTATGTATTATACTTACCGACCATGTACCACACTATTTATCTATGCTTTGTATACTTACCGACCATGTACCACAATATTTATCTATACTTTGTATACTTACCGACCATGTACCACATTATCTATCTATACTATGTATACTTACGACCATGTACCACATTACTTATCTATACTATGTATACTTACCGACCATGTACGGCATTATTTATCTGTACTATGTATACTTACCGACCATGTACCACACTATTTATCTATACTATGTATACTTACCGACCATGTTCCACATAATATATCTGTACTATGTATACTTACCGACCATGTACCACATTATTTATCTATACTATGTATACTTACCGACCATGTACGGCATTATTTATCTATACTATGTATACTTACCGACCATGTACGGCATTATTTATCGGTACTATGTATACTTACCGACCATATACCACACTATTTATCTATACTTTGTAAACTTACCGACCATGTACGGCATTATTTATCGGTACTATGTATACTTACCGACCGTGTACCACACTATTTATCTGTACTATGTATAACATTATTTATCTATACTATGTAAACGTACCGACCATGTACCACACTATATATCTATACTATGTATACTTACCTTACCGACCATGTACGGCATTATTTATCGGTACTATGTTTACTTACCGACCATATACCACACTATTTATCTATACTTTGTAAACTTTCCGACCATGTACGGCATTATTTATCGGTACTATGTATACTGACCGACCATATACCACACTATTTATCTGCACTATGTATACTTACCGACCAAGTACCACACTATTTATCTATACTTTGTATACTTGCCGACCATGTACGGCATTATTTATGACCATGTACCACATTATTTATCTGTACTATGCATACTTACCGACCATGTACCACACTATTGATCTATACTATGTATACTTACCGTCCATGTACCACACTATTTATCTATAATATGTATACTTACCGACCATGTTCCACATAATATATCTGTACTATGTATACGTACCGACCATGTACCACACTATGTATCTATACTATGTATACTTACTGACCATGTACGGCATTATTTATGACCATGTACCACATTATTTATCTATACTTTGTATACTTGCCGACCATGTACGGCATTATTTATGACCATGTACCACATTATTTATCTGTACTACATATATTTATCGACCATGTACCACATCATTTATCTATACTATGTATACTTACTGACCATGTACGGCATTATTTATCTATACTTTGTATACTTATCGACCATGTACCACTTAATTTTTTTTTGAACTATGTATACGTACCGACCATGTACCAATTATTTGTCTATACTATGTATACTTACCGAACATGTACGGCATTATTTATCTGTACTATGTATACTTACCGACCGTGTACGGCATTATTTATCTATACTATTTACCGACCATGTACCACATTATATATCTATACTATGTATACTTACTGACCATGTACGGCATTATTTATGACCATGTACCACATTATTTATCTGTACTATGTATACTTACCGAACATGTACGGCATTATTTATCTATACTTTGTAAACTTACCGACCATGTACCAATTATTTGTCTATACTATGTATACTTACCGACCGTGTATCACACTGTATATCTGCACTATGTATACTTACCGACCAGGTACCACATTATATATCTGTACCCACGTATACTTATCGACCATGTACCACTTAATTTTTTTTTGTACTATGTATACGTACCGACCATGTACCAATTATTTATCTATACTATGTATACTTACCGACCATGTACCACACTATTTATCTATACTATGTATACTTACCGACCATGAACCACACTATTTATCTATACTTTGTATACTTATCGACCATGTACCACATTATTTATCTGTACTATGTATACTTACCGACCATGTACCACATTATTTATCTATACTATGTATACTTACGACCATGTACCACACTATTTATCTATACTATGTATCCTTACCGACCATGTACCACATTATTTATCTATACTTTGTAAACTTACCGACCATGTACCACATTATTTATCTATACTATGTATACTTACCGACCATGAACCACACTATTTATCTATACTTTGTATACTTACCGACCATGTACCACACTATTTATCTATACTATGTATCCTTACCGACCATGTACCACACTATTTATCTATACTATGTATCCTTACCGACCATGTACCACACTATTTATCTATACTATGTATCCTTACCACCATGTACCACATTATTTATCTATACTTTGTAAACTTACCGGCCATGTACCACATTATTTATCTATACTATGTATCCTTACCGACCATGTACCACACTATTTATCTATACTATGTATTCTTACCGACCATGTACCACATTATATATCTGTACTATGTGTACTTACCGATCACGTATCACATTATATATCTGTACTATGTATACTTACCGATCATGTATCACACTGTATATCTGTACTATGTATACTTACCGACCATGTACCACACTATTTATCTGTACTATGTATACTTACCGACAATGTACCACATTACATATCTGTACTATGTATACTTACCGATCATGTATCACATTATAAATCTGTACTTCGTATACTTATCGGCAATGTACCACATTATATATCTGTACTATGTATACTTACCGACCATGTACGACAAGTGTCTGTCCTTAACCACTTGTTCGGATCTATAATTGTCTGCGCCTTCCTTGGCGTATGGAGGGCGTCACACAGATATTTGAACGCGTACATGTTTTCGATTTCAAGCTTATATCTAGTCTTCCATGTAAAATACTCGTTGTATAATTTTGTGTTTGTACTGAGCATATTCAGATAGTCTGCTAATTCTTTCACACCGTTGAAATCATGTATATTAATGTAAGAATCTTTTGGAATATTGCCGACTTGTTCTGCTTTCCAGTTTACAATTGGAATACTTTCCTGCTGTAAACTCTTCCAAATCTTTTCGGTTATGTAATCTCTGCAATTAGCATTTTCGAATGCAATGCGGAATCTATATTTATTAGAATCACATTCAGCCTCTGGGGTTCTTGGACAGGTTAAATTGCCACACTTTCCAAAATAATCTATTTTGACGTATTTCTCCAACTGTTGAATATATCTATATCTTTGCACGTCGTCCTGACAGTCACTAATAACTGCAAACACCATCCTAGTCTTATGCTTAGAAAAATCCTTGTTGCCATACATCACTGCAGCGGCGTCCTCTTCCTCGCGTGTCAATGGAACAAATTCTCCGTAAGGACTATAAATGGTAGAATCTGTTCGATACGACATCGTCCAATTGAAAGAACGGGTCCACGTCAGTCCTGTGAAGTGATGGTGGGGCGGCGCTTCCATGTTATACAGTACCCAAACCTGATCCGATCTTCTAAATCCGGGTACTGTCTCCCAGAACCAAAGGTCAATGAAATGGAAAAGCACTGCGTCAGCGGACCCCAGTTCACTTCGATTAGATGTCGCAGAACAGTTGTATTTACTCTCCGACATCCTTCCACCAACGTGTTTCGCCCAATCAAAAAAGAAAAACTTAGTCCACACTAGAACCTTCTTCGTACTTTTATTAACAAAATTTGTATGATGAAATTCGATAATGTTTTCACGACATCCTCCTGTTTGACAAACGTCATCGGTGTTACAGGTGCGCATCCATATATAGAACAAACACAGTATTCCCAGCACCTTGAACAAGTCCCTCCGGCCGACCTTGTTCGGCAGCATTAAAACTAGTTTAATCATGGTGTCTGTTTGTTTGAGATAAGCCCCCAAAGATCACAACATCCTATCTGAAAATTTAAACGCAAATTACAGGAAAAGGCAGAAAAAGATAGTGTGGTAATTTAGGCGGTGTTGAATTCGTGTTTTTGCATCAATTAGCGAATTAATATTCACACGCAAAAACAAATAATTAAAAATTAAACAAAGCTATAGACATATTATTTACATTTCAACTATTGTCAAGTTTTAATGGTCACAAAACGAACATTAACATCAGAAACTATCATAAAGAGAACAGTGTGGTCCTCCGTCGTACAGAGCAGCAGTTCATATGTCCCCTTCGTATTTTTATCATTAGATGATCATGACATGACGTGTAATCTGTGTTCAAAATATTAATTTTATTGTTGATTTTTTCCCTCTTAAGTTTAATTACGTTATTGTGTGCGATGTTATCATGTTCCCTTTTTTGTTTATAATAAATCATATTTGTTTATAATAAATCATTTTTGTTTATAATAAATCATTTTGTTTGTAATCGAATTTCAACCAAAGCAACAGCAACTTGTTTTATTGATAAGTAATTCTCCATACTTTATACATGGAATGTATAAGCCCTACGGCTTTAACCTGTTGTTTGACTTATGGGAAGTTTTTTTTTTAACAAGAATAATGTTAACGAATGACATACGACCTAAAAGTTCGTATTCCATATTCTTAATATATATAAATTATTATAAACCAAATAATTGCTTCTATGAATGATTATATGTATGCTTTTAATTTATATAGAAGAGGGATCTTGAAACCTACTTTTTGTAAGATAGTCATTAGTGTTATGATATTTTGATCGCTTCACTACTTGCTTTTATCTGATTCATTGATAGTTTTTCAACAGTAAATGCATCATGTATTTTATTTTTTTACGGTCTGGTTTGGACAGTATTCTATCAAGCTAGGTAGCTTGTCATTTGACCTATTTGATAAATAAAGAATGTGTGGAAACAGGTACACATAATTTTTCTGACAGCCGTTTGTTTTTTTATTCCATCAGTGTTTCTGACAGCCATTTGTTTTTTATTCCATCGTGTTTCTGACAGCCATTTGTGTTTTATTCCATCAGTGTGAAGCTTGCAAAGAAATATACAATACTTGTTAACAGTAAGAAGGTATATATAAGTGAAAATCAGCATATGGCATTGAATAACAATGTAAATGTTTTATAGTGTTAAGATAAAACGTTGCTTGTTGAAGGTTATCTCGTTTTTCTGATCAATGTCAAATATCACATAAGCTATCGAGGACCAAAAGGAACTTACGTATGAAATTCGAAAAAGATCTTCTTGCAAAGCAATAACAAGAAAAGTTTAAGAACGGATAACGGACCACTGACAATTCCCCATTAGAGCAAGCCACCATTTCGTGATGGTGGGATGGTATTAAGAAAGGGAATCTAAAATACATTTAACTTAATTTTAAAGTATGCTGGTTTTTTTTACTGGTTTGTCTTTAAATTAACATATTTATTTTCGGTTTCTTTTTCAGTTAAAGTTGTTCTGCAAAACCTGTTTGTAGTTAAGGTTAACTTGTTCGTAAACTATGCAGTGCTAAAAATTGATGTTTTTTAAAAAATATTTTCTTTAATGCTCGCCCTTTCTGTATGAACTCGACGCAGGCCCAAATAAATTACGTGTTACTATGTACATATGTTTTTATTAATATGCAAATAAGATGAGTCAGTATATGCGTTATCTGGGGTTTAACATCATAGCAGTATCTACGGTCGTATGAACACGATGACGTGCAATGTAATACATTTCATTATTGAAATCATTATTGAAACCCATTCAGTCAAGCGTGTATTTTTTTCGATTTGTATGCGAAAAGCCTATAACACGCATTTACGTATAGAGATCAATATTCCATATAAGGGAACGCCGTGTGTGTAATTAAACACATTGAAGTGAAGCTTTCATCCGAAACTGAATACAGACCAGCATTTAAGTTCGCGCGTTGCACAGAGTTTACTCACCTATGATGATTTTGATGCAGAAATGCGGAAAATTAAACATGTGAAACATTTTGTCATATATATATATATATATATGACCTACTTTATCACGTATTTTCCAGACTCTACTTGAGTCGGTCCAATCGAGCAAGATATTCTAGATCCGTCCCTTTTATCCGGTACTTTAAAATCAAAGGATCTTAAAGTTGTTGAACTGATAATACGTAATGATAACCCTAACCCTAACTGATAATACGTAATGATAACGGTTTTCATTACACTACTGAATTCTCTCTATAACAAAATCTTCAACCTATGCTGAAAGACATTTCTTATCCAAGATTTAAATCAACTTTGAGAACAATTATACTTTTGTTTACAGAAATTGAAACGTTGTCATAACACACTCATGAATTGGTTGTAAACTACTACCTGGAATAGACCTTGAAACGGTTACAATAAATAATAGTTTAAAACTTAATATCGATTAATGGCATTGTCTTTTAACTTTCTAACCTGTAGCCTTTCTACAAATGTTCCAGCACAGTTTAGACGTTGATATGCTTTATCTTATGACAGTTCTTACCACTGATGACTCCTAAATAAAAAAAGACAATTCCAGGAATACATGACCCAAAGCGAAGCCTTTTGTATTAATAAAAGTCATCAATCATATGTTTACTGTTTTCTACTATGGAATGGAACTGGTTGATAAAAGCAATCAGACAGAATAAAAAGGAGAAAGCTACAGCTGCCATCCCTCGTCATTTTGTAAATGACCAACCTTTGCATTTAACAATACAATAGATCAGCATTAACAGACCATAATAACACACACAACCTCATCATAGACTCGAACAACTCGACAGAGTTCGAAAGCTAGGGAGGACAACACGAAAGTCAGGGAAATCAAAGAATCCATCTGGATTGGGAGGTAAGGGGAACCGATGAGCAGAGACACGGGGCACCAGCTGAGTCATCTTTATGACATCATTTTAAATTCCACTTAGGGGCGCACTGTATAAAAATGTTACCTGTAGCCCTGATTGTCTGCAGTATTAGAATGCCTATGATTTTTGACAGCTGACTTTACTGATTAGGCACACTTTGGCTAAGTGTGCTATTTAAAGCGGTATAGAGTCGAGACACCGTTATTTTACACTCTTTGCTTACAAAAAGGAAACAGACGTTCTCGAAAGCTCGCAAAAAAAGAGTTTTTATTTCCCTGTTTGTGGTCAAACCAAACTTATCATTTACTAGTCATACCAAACTTATCATTTACTAGTCATACCAAACTTATCATTTACTTGTCATACCAAACTTATCATTTACTAGTCATATAAAACTTATCATTTACTAGTCATACCAAACTAATCATTTACTAGTCATACCAAACTTATCATTTACTAGTCATACCAAACTTATCATTTGCTAGTCATACCAAACTGATCATTTACTAGTCATACCAAACTGATGAATCTCGTTTCGAATACATTTATTCTCCTTTTTATGTTTACCTTTAAATAAGTTAAAAGTATATTGATGGTAGATAGTTTTTAAATTAAATTGATTTTTAATCTCACCACCTTGTATCTTGAAGTATGAACGTAACATTCACAGAGGTCAAGACGTTGAATAAACACAACTACATTCTATATAAACCAGGGTAATTTGTGTTCATTATGTGTTAATAAACACAACTACATTCTGTATAAACCAGGGTAATGTGTGTTCATTATGTGTTAATAAACACAACCACATTCTATATAAACCAGGGTAATGTGACTTCATCATGTGTTAATAAACACAACTACATCTATACATACTTGAATAATGTGAGTTCATTATGTGTTAATAAGAGCTCATTATAAGCTAGATTGTTATATAGAAGTGAAGATCGGTTAAAAGAGGTTTAAGAAATTGTTAATAGTTTCGATATATTCATGGTCAAGTATATCATTACTTCTCAAATACCTTATCGTTTATATAAAAACACTATCATGTTGATGGCCAAAGATATAAGAAAATCATAAAATTCTATCTTAAATAAATATCAGCATTGCTAATGAAATTTTGAAAGTAAGAAAACACTGACCTTGCTTGATACGGTTCATTCACCGTCATCTGCTTAAACGATATAGTAGGTCCAACCATGCTGGATAAAGTTCGTTTAACGCCTTCTCTGATAATCAGGACAAGCATGTTTTATAGATGGTAGATCAATCAACGGGTTCGAGCACGAAGGTATAAGTCGTCTTTGTCCAGATCTAAAGAATGACTTAAACCGTTGCTATTTAACATTTAGGTGAAGTAAAGATAGTGATACTTTAATGTATTTTTTATCACGGCTATACAAGTTCATACATGTTAAAAGGTTTTCTCAATACTTATATCTATACCTTTGACATTATTCTTGACTTCTTTCTTTTGAGGGACGTCTTACGCGTTTGACTTTTAAACATTTTTAAAAAAAGTGTATATACATTGGTGAAGGGATAGAGGCCTGGAAAAAAGGTATAAACGATGTTGTGGGAAAATGCATTACGTTAATCCTGTTTTAACCAACCAGTCGAGGAAGACAGATATTGCAACCGTTCTGTTGTGCATTGCGTTAATCCTGTTTTATCTAAGCAGTCGAGGAAGACAGATATTGCAACCGTGCTGCTGTTCATTACGTTAATCCTGTTTTATCTAACCAGTCGAGAAAGACAGATATTGCAACCGTTCTGTTGTGCATTACGTTAATCCTGTTTTATCTAAGCAGTCGAGGAAGACAGATATCGCAACCGTGCTGTTGTTCATTACGTTAATCCTGTTTTATCTAACCAGTCGAGGAAGACAGATATTGCAACCGCGCTGTTGTTCATTACGTTAATCCTGTTTTACCTAACTTGTCGAGGAAGACAGATATTGCAACCGTGCTGTTGTTCATTAAGTTAATCCTGTTTTACCTAACCAGTCGAGAAAGACAGATATTGCAACCGTGCTGTTGTTATTACGTTAATCCTGTTTTACCTAACTAGTTGAGGAAGACAAATATTGCAACCGTGCTGTTGTTCATTAAGTTAATCCTGTTTTACCTAACCAGGCGAGGAAGACAGATATTGCAACCGTGCTGTTGTTCATTACGTTAATCCTGATTTACCTAACCTGTGGAGGAGGACAGATATTGCAACCGTGCTGTTGTTCATTAAGTTCATCCTGTTTTACCTAACCAGTCGAGAAAGACAGATATTGCAACCGTGCGGTTGTTATTACGTTAATCCTGTTTTACCTAACCAGTCCAGGAAGCCAGATATTGCAACCGTGCTGTTGTTCATTACGTTAATTCTGTTTTACCTAACTAGTCGAGGAAGACAAATATTGCAACCGTGCTGTTGTTCATTAAGTTAATCCTGTTTTACCTAACTAGTCGAGGAAGACAGATATTGCAACCGTGCTGTTGTTATTACGTTAATCCTGTTTTACCTAACCAGTCCAGGAAGACAGATATTGCAACCGTGCTGTTGTTCATTACGTTAATCCTGATTTACCTAACCTGTCGAGGAGGACAGATATTGCAACCGTGCTGTTGTTCATAACGTTAATCCTGTTTTACCTAACTAGTCGAGGAAGACAGATATTGCAACCGTGCTGTTGTTCATTACGTTAATTCTGTTTTACCTAACTAGTCGAGGAGGACAGATATTGCAACCGTGCTGTTGTTCATTATGTTAATCCTGTTTTACCTAACTAGTCGAGGAAGACAAATATTGCAACCGTGTTGTTGTTCATCATGTCATTTAAATAAGAGAACCTGAACTAGCAAGACGATGTGTATAGGAACCAAGGAGATATTGATCGAAAATTGAATATAAAAAAAAAAACATTTTATGCACATATCGTTGAACTGAGTAAAATGGCCGTATGGATTATTGTTTTCGTCCTCCTGAATAGAATCACACTTGGACGACTTTCGTCACGCATGCCTTCTGTTCTTTTTAAAAAACTGATATCAACCTGTTTTCATCAATAAGGCCGTTGAAACTGTCACAGGCAAGCATCTAGTCAACCTAATTAAAACACGCCTTGTCGCTTCTCAACGTTGATAAAAATCAAAACAGACAGGTACATCATTGCCAGATCAATACACAATCTTATGAAGGGACAAGTGGTTTAAAAGATTCGTACCATTCAGGCTGGTCATTGATGCCTTTCATGACTAGTTTTCCCCTGATCAAATGATAACCAGTACGATGCCTACATGGAGTTTTCTTTTTCTTCATCCTAAAAACAGAAGGCCCATTTATCCGATTCGTATGAAAATGACACAGTGAGTTTTATATATACTTATACGAATTATGTACACAGATGTTGCGCTAGATGTAAATTAACCTAACTCGAAACGGTTCATTTACTAAAGCTATAACTAATTTGTCGAATTTTTAGCATTCTTCTATTTGCACTTGATACACTCTTCTCCTTTTTGATTATTAATGAAATGATCAGACCTAATCAATAACCCTCTGATTATTTTTGTTTTAAACATTTTTTTTTTTAATTGCTATTCAGAGCACATTGAGGTATAAAAGGTAGGTTTTAGTGAATAATGATTAGTTTTTGAGATGCTATTTTAATTTCACAACAAGAAAAAACAATATATAATAAGAGGTATTTAGTGAGTAAAAATGTTGTTTGACCGACCATGTTCCATTGTTTTCTTGTTATATTGTTTTATTTCCACCATATTTAAAATGAAGGTTCATGCATAAAAAGTTGTTTTTTAAGTGTTTGACCTACTATACATTTCCAGGACAAGAACGAACTGTTAATGTTTAATAGTATGCGTTAAGTGACTAATTGTCAGCATTCCACATATTTTATTTCCTCATCACTTGGAACTAATGTGTAAAATGAAGTTGTTCATGCGTACAATAGATATGTTTTGACTTAAATAATATTATGTATAACTAGCAGGAAGTTTAGATTATGTTTTAAGTAAGATGCTTGAACTGTTCTGAAGTTAAGAGCAGCAACATTTCAGTAGCTACAATAGTTATACATATCTGTGGTTATATGCTGATTACCTGTTTTATAGTAATTCCTCCTTCACTCATATGTTTAGAAACCAAAGTATTAGTTTAAACTGCTTGGCGTAACTCTAAAGGAAATTATAATATACGTCTCGTCTTAGGAGTTAATTACCTTACCAAAGGTAAGTCCTCATTTACCGGTTGGCTGAGAAAGAATGATATCAGCTTTTATCATATAGTTATCTCTATTGTTCCACTAACTATATTTGAAAGTTGAAAGAAAAACATAATATTCCTAATACGAATAATAAGTTTGGAACATAACATCATAACAACAAACGTATAAGTACCTGACAGTGTACATGTAGGTATCCGCCTGCAGCTGAACACGTATATTGAAGTCTAGACGTACGAATACACATGAAAAAAAGACTAACATGTATGACCGGCAATGAAATGAAGACGCCAATATCATTAGCAGACACGGTTGACTGATCGGCAAAGTAATGAATGATAAAATATAATGAAGTTTTTTTCATTTTTGTTCTCTCATGATTTGAGGAAAATTTAGTTAAGTTTATGCTCATTATAAGTTTAGGAACTACTGAATTTGACAACATGAGAGTGACTAACGGTGTATATATCTTTCTGTATCTGAACTCGTTAATTCAAATCCGGGTACGGATGTTCGCAATTGGTACGCATGAATGAGCCACTATCCTATACATGTAGGACCAATAGTGAAGTGAGGACGCCACTTCAACATAGAGACATGATGGATTGATCGCCATAGTAATTAATTATATATTGAGCATAAACTTAATCATTTTGACATTTTTTGTTTGTTTTGTAATTCGTTTTTTATTTATTTATCACATTTCATTTATTTTGTAAAGATTTTTGTTCCTTTAAAAAAATATTTGCTTATATGCATCTCCATGTATGTATAACTGTATGTATAATTGTATGTATGACTGTATGTATAATTGTATGAATAACTGTATGTATAATTGTATGTATACCTCATAAAGAAATGTGAAGTAACATCACGAATGTGACTTATATGAGAGTACACGGGATATATCCTACCTGTTTGCACCCGCTGCCTTTTATTGATATCATAACGTTGATGTCGTTAATAGGAAGTACGTTTAAGCTTAACTAAACTTGCTAAATCCTGACACGAGGGTTGCCTTGAATATAATTTCAAAAAAGAATAAATAAAAAAAGTCAAAACCCTGAAAGGTATTGATCTCATTGAATATTGAATATACAAAAATGTGGTCTTAAAAAATGTTTCGATATTGTACATGTTACTATGTTATAAGTACAAAATTAAAATGGGCAGGTTTGATGTGAATGTCAAAGACAAATACTGTTCATTTGTTGTATGAAGTTGTATAAAGGAAATCAAAATTTACCCCAAAAAATCTAAAGCATTTTACACATTGATCTATAGTTCTAGGACAAATATAAAAGATAAATCAGTTAAGACATCAATGGTGACCCATATTTTGACCCACTTACTATCACTAACCCTTTTAATATTTGTTAGTTGCAAAGCGTTAAATATAGTACCAAATACATTACACATGTTTACCTCTATTTTAAACACCCTATACATTAAGAAAAAAAAAGGTATGCGGTTCAGTTCAAGGCCATTAAGAGACGAATTTTGTTATTGAAAAAATGTTTTAACCGTCCTAATCACATATATAATCAATTAGTCAGTGAATTGCATCAAGTACAAGTTTCCCCGAAGATCTCTTCATAAAACAATTCAGGTTAGTATAGGCCAGTAAGTATTCTTTAGTATTGTTTCATTTTTTTGTGTATTCAACTTAAGCATTTTTATATGCAATTAACCTAGCATATGACTATCAGTCTGGTTTCATGGAATACACTTTTCAGATGCATTTCTTATCAATCTGTTTGGCCAAATAAGAAAAGAAACTACAAAAACATTTCGAAAATTATGACACTTAAAACGGTAGAAAACAAACTGCAGCTATAGTTTGTAATAACATATTTGGAACAATATTTGAAACGCACATCATAGACAACGAATCATGTATACCATCATAAACATATTTTATATCCCCAAAAGTGTTTGTATTTTTTCTAATGTTTATATATCAGTTGTTAAAGCACTTGTTACAGTCAGCTGTTACTGTGAGCTATTGACAGTGCTATTGTATTCTTGCATGATGGTCTTGAATATGTTGTATCCGTTCTCGGAT